CCTTCGCCCGAATACGGCTCGCCAGACATGGTGCTGATCGGAATGACAGTTTACTGCGTAGTACGATTGGAATAGTACATGACAACGAGGAAAGGGTTTTATTACCAGTGAATGAATAATGCAAGATAAGGCAGTTACTTGATATGTTCCCTATATGAACGTTTTGTCGATTGTCTTTCGCAAGAGGATTGGGAGGTGGTATGTTCAGGGACAATCGATGGCAAAGAGGTAGAAGAGGTTGAAGAAGTTGAAGAGAAGAAAAAGTTGCAGGCAATTAAGATGCAGTCCAAATCTTAATAGACGTTTCTCTGATGGATCGTACCTACCTTTCATTAGCATATCCCATATAGACAGTCACATGGTTGTCGACTTCCTCAACTTGGGCATATACCGTCTGCTCCTTCCAAGCCGTGGAATCATCATCGTTGCCACGTGATCAACAGTAAAAATAGGGGTTCTCATAGTCTTGAAGAGCATCTAGCTGTTAATATTCAAAGCTATCAAAGCCAAGAAAGGAACAACTGAATACGTTTCGCATAAAACCTGTGCTCTCCCTTGCTCGTAAACTCATATTCCCCAACTCCACGATCCCATGAACCAATTCGGTTCGAATCCCACCTTTTCCCGATACCGCCTCCACACATTTTTTCCAACCGTGCCTAATCGAGTTACGCATTCCAGGGACCGGATAGCCTCCGATGATCTCGCGACAGTCTCGCATTTCAAGACGAGCTGTGTCCTAGCTTCGGCTCAGCATGTAGTCTAGGCAGATCCTGCTCGCGAATCCAGGAATCCCTGTCCGTTGCTCTTATATAATCCACTCTCCAGCACCTCATTCATCCCGGGTCTTACCTCGGGATGAGGGCACACGATTGTGGTGTCGTAGAGGCGAGGAAGGACGCGAAGTTGAAAGTCCCATAGCTTTGATATTCTCCAGCGGATCGGGAACGCTAAGCTTGTCATCAGTGTACCTCGGGGTATTCATCGGGTCGATCGTTGTCTTCTCGTAGTTGACAATGTTGATCGGTGGTGGCCGGCCGCGTTTCCGGTCAGGGCCAGTGTAGAGGAAGGTTGAGACAAGTACCAAGGCCGTGCCGATCAGGAACTAGATATCGTTAGTATATATACAGAAAGCAGCCGTCCAAGATCGTAAGCTACTTACTGTCAACGTCACATGGACTCTGAAGAACCAAACGCTAAACAAGAAGCCTATGATAATACTGATACTCGTCGCAAAGTTCTTCGCAATGTTGTCGGCATAGTTAATGCAGAGCGAAGCAAGCACGCCACCGAACGCCTGCAAGATAATCAAAGACCAGACGATCCAGTTGTAGCCGTCAAATACTCCGTGCTTCGCAATCTCCTCGCCATCCTTGAATATAATGCCCAACAGTGCTGGGAAAAGAGAGTAGAACGATAGCTGGATGTTGCGAGTCCACACGGAAGCCGGGTTTTCCGTATCCTTAAGAACCTTCTCGAAGTAAACTCCTGTCAAGCCAGAGATGACGGCCACGGCCATGACGGTGGTCAACCCGATCGAATAGTTCATCACAGGCGCAGTATTCTGATCTTCCTCGATCCCCTCGTACGTTGCAGAGCGCTTCGCAATAGTCTGGCCAACCTCAACTGCCGCTTCCACGCCACGCTTCGTTAACTCCCTCGCAACTTCGCCCATGCCGTTCGCTACCTGGCCTAACTCGTGTACCGAGCGAGGGAAGAAATGATCTGTCATGTCGTGGATCATGAACGAGCTATCCTTCGAGTTCGAGGATGGAATAGACACAATCGAAACGCCCATGGTCAAAATAATGAGGGAAACCCAACGCTTCACTGTCAAGGATCTTCCAAGCATGGTGACAGTGAATATGGCGGTTGTAAGGATCTTAAGCTGATAGAGAATCTGGAAGTGTACCGGGTCTAAATTCCCCACCGCAACATATTGCAATATATTTTGAATGGTATATAAAGTGGCTGCAATAGCTACCTTCCATCCGTCCCCGGAGAATACAGAGTTAAAGATCTGTTCGAATATAACGGTAGCGGGCGTCGATGGCGCTAGATTCCTCGAAACCTCGTATAAAGCAAAAGTAAGGGAGATGGCCAGTTTGATAACCTCTGTGAAGAACACGGCTGTCGAAGTGAAGTATCGGTGGTCGCCGCTAGGAGGCATCATTCGAGAGTAATGCATGAGTAGAATCAAGGCCGAATTTTGAAAAGTCAACTGCAAAATGAGGTTATTAGTAATTGCTTCCTTTCCCTTGGGTTTCAAAACACCTACCGTGATGAGAGAAACCTGCTTCATGGGAATGCCGAAAAGCGTTGGCCCTCCCATGGTTTGCGGGGTACCATCAAGGAGAGCCATGATGGGGATTAGGTAGATAGCAACCAAACTTTGGCCAATTTGGGCGTGCTCTTGTTCGCGATCGTGAGATTTGTATGTTGTTCAAAAACGGATGTGGGTAGTTGGTAGATTCTCGGTAGAAATGCGCAGACTTGGCCAATTATCAAAACTCAAGAAACCATTCTATGCGAAAATCTTGAATTTCGCACCGCAATTTGTTGTCGTAATAGCGCTAGTGCCCAGTACTAGCTTGTCAGTAGTTGGTAAAATAGTAAAATCTTGGATTGGAAAAGCAATAATGACGGAGATGTGTCACGTCTTGTTAAATAAATTGAGAGAGTAAAATAAAAAAAGAGAGAATGCGAAAGTCGATTCAAGTTGAACACGCGCTTCAATTCAACCCACGTTCCCACGTCCCTTCGAAATGGGCCGAGACCTATTAAGCTCTTTTTGACCCCTGGATGTGACGCTAGGTACCGAAGTATGCAAAACGTCCGTGACGTGACGCTCGGTTTCAACGGCGGCCAAATTGAACTTTAATGCGTCCGTCACCACGTCCGTTCCTGATGTACATAGGCTAGTTGGAAGTTGGTCAGAAAAGCAGGTGAAAATGAACGATGAAAAATGAAAAACACGGATAGTAATTAAGAAAAGGTTTCGTTTTTTTTTTTCAGGAGGTTTGCTTCGCAAATGCTGCAATTGGCGCTGAATTGTCGTGCTACAGGTATTACATGTACAACTTCATAGGGCCGGCACTTCCAGATAGGATATAGGTGGTGTAGAGTTCGATTCCTACTAGCGCCGTCTGGTGACCCACCTATCATCTTTTTCTCTTCCTGGTAATGATGACTAAGAGTTAGATACATACTACATAGTATAATGAAGCCCAAATAATTGACGTCAGATCCGCAAATCCAAGCCCAATACAGCAATTTAGTGTTTGTTCTACTGTCCAATTTCTTAATCTGCGACAACGCTGTTCACAATATCAACAACGCCTTGAGCATCAGTCAAACATGGACAATGCCCTGTATTCATCTCGAAGGTTTGCACCTTGACACCATTTTTCTCGACCCCCTCCACGATGTTCTTCTGGTAGTGGATTGGGACCATCATATCCGCCGTGGTGTAGATGTAAGCCACTGACGGAAACTCCCGCCACGCGGCATGTTCCAGCGGTTGGAAGAAACATCTTCCATTCGAACGGACCAAGGTACTTAGATACATGCTGGCCTCTGCATCGTCGAGGCTGGGATCAACAAACGAAGCTCTGGCGTCGCAAGGCACTGCTGATTTATCTTCGGCAATGTCAAAGACCAGAGGCACTAAATCCATATTGCCAAACTCCTTGGCCTTGTCCAATGCCGCAACACCCTCTGTAAGGGCGTAGCTCGCCATATAGATAATTGTTTTGACACCACCCTTAAGCCCTTGTCGAGAACGCTTGCCAAGCTCAAGGCCATACAAGGCATTGGTGCCAACTTGGCCGCCGTACGAGTGCACGATGACCACGACTGTACGCCCAGCGCGAACAAGACTTTCAACGTAACCCCGAATCAGGATGCTATCGCTAGTCAAGTCACCAATGGGTGGGCGCATTTGGTAGCACGAGGTAAGCCGTGGGATATGGACTTCATAGCCAGCCGATTCGAGGGCGGTACTGAGCTTTGCGTAGCTGGCAGGAATGTGGAAGCCACCGCTTATGATTAAGAGTGTAGGCTTGTTACTAGTCGCCATTGGCTTAATCAAAGATTGACACTAATTATCGTCGGTCTACGGAATCGTTGGAAATGATTTGGTGAAGACGACAATTCTCAAGAGTTTACAAATGAAAATACTACGGACTATTCGAGGATTGAGAGGTTAGATGTTGGCGAGTATTGGTACTCGTCCCTTGCATGCACCCACCTATCAACAAAAGGTGAGCATTGTCATCTGGCTCCAGCATACATACCATTTCACTTATAAGAAATATGTCTTGAATTTAAGTCTTTTGGTAACCGATCTAATCAGTGCGTATCTGAATTTCTGTATAGACTCGGCTCTTACATACTAGTTGCATGGGTAGATTCGCGGAGATCAGCAAAGATACATGTAGTCCGGCGCCTTGACCCTTTCTTCGGCTTCCGTGATCATCACGGGGCGATCTCAGATTGCACCCGTGGGGGAATCAACCAAAACAAGTTAAAAAGATGATCGCCTCCAACGACTGATGTTTCGAATTGTTTGAACTCCGGCTCCAAAGGTCTCTACTATGTAAGGTAAGATTTTTTATGTAAGTGATTAGCTAGGTTTGGGTCGTTTCCCACGGTCTAACACTTGATTTCGGCGCCTGATTCTGATATCGTAGGATTAATTCAGCTTGGCCGGCGTTAGCTCACGCTCCAGTCGTATATAAATATAGTTTAGGTTTTCAATCAGCCAACCGATACATCTATTAGCATCGTTGATCGATCATTTGAATCGTATTAGCGTCAGACAGCACATCAACGCCAGATTCTGCCAGCGCGAATCAAGTTATACAATAGTATCCTTGCGTCAACGTCTATGAAATTGATATAACGATAACCTCAACCTGTCGTTCATGTAATACCTAACAAAAGGAATAAAAAACGACGAGTTAGCAAAAAGACACGTGCTCGTCAGGAAACACAGTAGATGCCAGCTGCAGGGTTCGAACCTGCGCATCTCTCGATAATGGTGTTCAAGATCGTGGGACCCCACTTTGACTTAAAACCACCGCCTTAAACCACTCGGCCAAACTGGCTTGTTACTGGAAGTTTAAACTTCATTATTGCGCTCTATATTCTAGTGGCGGCACAATTACATTGTGGCCATCATCTCGACCACGGGCATATATTTTGTCAGCATCTTCTCTACCTATCTAACAAGTAGATAGGTATACGTTAGAGTCCAGCAAGCATCAAAGAGGTTTATTGGATGTTTTTATTCTTTATTTGACGAGTTATCTCATCTTCTTTTTATGTCCGCGACTTGCAAGAACAATATCTAGGTAGTATCGAATCCAAAATAACGCTCCCCTTAAATGTTTAATGCACACACCCCAATCCAAACATGCCCACCCATAACATTAGTAGTTGGGCACCCATCATTCCTAATAGTACAACCGCATCTCAGATAGTAAGTAACCAACATGCGTGAACAGAAACACCGAAGCATAGCAAGATCCGCTTTCTTTCCATCCCCCCTGAACTTATGAGATAGAAGCCTCGAAGTAGGCCAAGCAAAGCCCATACGAATCATACAGCAGATCTATGTAGGTAGGCAGGTAGGTAGGTACTTTTCCACAAATGAGAACCAGGAACCGCTCCTGTACCTATTTTAATCCTCCTTCCCTACCTCCCTCCCTTCGATAAAACATTACACATACCCGAAATCTTTCTACAAAGTGAATAAATGATATGCCGATGATGTTGGGAAAATAATCATAAGCAGTGATTGGATTCCAGGCTCCCAGTGGTGTGTATAAAAGTAGGAACCCTCATCAGCTCCCGATCGATACCTGAATTCCGAAACGGCAAAACGCCGTGTTGCTATGTTGCCAAATGCGAGGAAATCCATGTCGAAGCAGGCAGGTAGGTAGATAGGTTACATAGGGAATATTACGGCGTGCATGCATCCCAATCAGCCAGCTAATTCGCACGCAAGAAAAAAAAAATCGAATCATAACTTGAAAGCAAGTACAATGCGTCCGTGTTCAATCGTCGTCGCCCCACCAAGGCACAGGCGAGCTGATCTGGCCCACGGCGCTCAGTCGAACGGCGCTCTTCTTGCCCTTCTTATGGCCGAGCGCCGACGGCGCAAGGAACCCGTCCGCGGGCGAGACCGGGCTATCCGGTCGAGGGACCCCCCTCTCAGGAACAGGCTGCAGCGTCGGAGGAGGAGCCCTGCGTCGAGGAGGCATGACCTCCTCGAAGTCGTCAAAGTCGACGTCGTCCGCGTCGATGTCCTCGTTGATGTCGGGTACGGCGTGCATCATCACCGTCGTCGTCGTCTTGATCGGGCTGCTCCTAGGACTAACAGGACTCGAATCCGGGCGAGGCCGGCCGACCGGTTCGGGGCTGTTGTAGGGGGGGCTGCCGAGCTTCGAGCGCGTCCGGCTCTGCCGCTCGCTTATCGGGAAGTCGAGCTCCTCGTCCATGAACTCGCTCAGGTCCGGGCTTGGCTCCGCCTGGTCGATCGGGTCGATGCTGTCGATTGGTCGGTCCAGAAAGAGGAGCACGCGTTCCTTGCGGGCTTTGCCGGCTCGTCGGGGCTCGGGCTCGGGCTCGGGGGAGATGCGCAGGCGGTTGACGGTTTTCTCTGTCGGGTCGCTGTGGCTGGTCGACGGGGCCACGTTTGTGTCGCGTGGGCCGTTGGAGCGATCCCGAACTCTGCCGAGTCCGGTGCTGGACCTGCTGGACCGCTGGCTCGACCGTCCTACTACCGAAGAGGATCTTTTGGGGAAGTTCTTAGGCTCCTTTGCCTTCGCGCGAGCTTCTCTAACCTCCTTAGCTGCTTGTCTCTCGGCGTCTTTCAGCTTCGCCGACGCCAACTTCTCGATATCCTCCTCGGTAGCGCCACTTCCTCGAGCGCCTCTGACTTGTTCGATCTCTGCAATTATGTTCTCCCGCATCCTGGCTCTCTTCTTTCGCAGCGCCGCTAGAAGCATCTCTTCTTGCCTCGTCACAGCCATCATCCGTGCATTGCGCGATTCGCTGGCTTTGCTAGCCGTCGAATCTCGGCGAGCCGGTTCGGGCGCCTTCTGGTAGAACTCGGCGCTCGTAGGCGATATTGGTGGCGTAGGCTGGTCAGAAGTATGTGAGCTCTGCGATATTCGCTGTCTGGCTGCCTGCGAAATGGTATGGTTCAAACTATGCGGTATCGGGTCCGCCGAAACTGACGAAGCGGCTTCGACAGTGGAGGCTAGCGGCGTGAAAGAGATTGCTTTCGCTTCTTGTACGCTGTAATTAGTGTGATTGCTATAGGTAGGAGAGAGCACGGAGCCCGTCGTCGAAACCGACCCCCGAGGGTCCTGTTGAGACTGATGAGACTGGCGAGAAGGTGCAGAAACGCGAGTTGCGGTGCTCAATGACGAGTTCGTGGATTGCATTGTATTAGTCGATGGCGATCGATTATTCTTGGATTTGGGAGAAGCATGGGGAATAGTGAGGAAGTCATTGAGTTGTGTGTATGACGCTCCTTTGGGGCTGGTCGTATGGCTGCTGATAGATAGGCGCGACGTGATCGGTTGTCGTTGGCTCGAGGAAACGCTAACATCGTCGCGAGAACTATTGTCATACGAAGGCAAAGACGAACCCGGTCTAGAATACGGTGTGCCGTCTTCATCCGAGTCTGAATCTGTGAGGGACAAGACACTTTGCTGTTGGCGATCAGAGTCCAAAGTACTCATGATAGACGGGGTAGCCTTCGAGGTTCGCGTATGTCGGCTCGATACGCTCGCTGGGTAATCACTCCTCGATGTCGGTCGTAATTGTAGAGTACTCGGTGTGCCAGCTCTAGTTGCCGTAATCTTGCTTGCCTGCGAAGTGTTACGGCTATGATTCCACCCGGCGCTAGCGGCTCTATGAGTTGAATCAGGCAGCGGTGTGATCATATCCTCATGAGATAGATCTGAATCTGCAGGATCATATGTCCGAGGTAGCAGATGTTGCTGGTTCAAATGCCCTTTGTCCCCTATGTCCTCCTCATCTTCATCCTCCTCCCTCAATTCCGCGTCATTACGGAATGACATCTGCTCATAATGATCGTAAAGTTGATGCAATGTACTCGCATCGTTTGTCCCCTTTATTCGGCCTGGCCTTGCCGATACGCTCGGCGGTGGTTGATACTGGAACTTCATGTCTGGCCTAGGGGTCTCTTCGTCTCTCCTAGGACTTGTTGGCGAAGCCATAGAATGAGACACGTGCGAGATGACGGATGGTGACTTCATCACGTAGTTGTTACCTAGAACAGGGCCGACTCCATGAGAGTCCACATGGTGATCCTTACGTGACCTGAGCCTCAGTTTTGAAAAGTCTAATCTGTGAGGCTTTTTCTTCTGCTGCTGCTGATGCACGTTTCCAAAAAGCGAGCCATCTATATCCAACAACGCACCGGCTTTCGACGGAAGTCCCTTCGCCATCGCCGAGTTAGAGGTCTGCTGAGATATTGAAAGCGGCATCTTGGAAGATTCATAATGTGAATGGACTGTAGAACTAGACTGTGGTCGCCTAGAATTGGAGTCATCTGTCGCAACATCTCGACTGCGAGCACCGAGAGTGACTGCCGATCTCTTTGGTTTCACGCTCTTGCTGCCGGGTCCATGCGCACTACGCAGCCGTCGCGGGAGCGCCTCTGATTCCTCCTCCCATAGAGCTCTTCCATATGTTGTCCCAGCAAACCTATCCTCATCTTCGTCCCCGTCTAACGCGCCAGATTGACTTGCGCTGCTCTCGGATATAGATATGCTGATTCCTCCATTCGAACCCGTCTCCCATGAACGACCATGATCCCGATGTCTGGAGGGTGAGCCGATATTCGCCCGGCCGGTCCCCAATATCTTCTCCGCTTTTGAGGGCGGGTTCGATGTCGCTACGGTGGGCGACTGCTTCGCAAAACGCCCCGGCATCGGGAACGTAAACTTGGATTTGTGGCCCATCTTTCACAGATCACTCAGTCGCTAGAGAAAACGATCGATGGTAGATTATAGGCAATTCGCTCCGGCTCGTCGTTCGTGCACAAGATTACCCTCCGACGTCAGTTTCACAGTGCGGCAGAGGAAGGCCCGGGTATTGCGTCCTCTACCCCCACCTCTTGATATTTCCCACGACAAATCTTCCGAGTTCAGAGGCATGTATTAGAAGGTAAAAATGTTAAATATTCCAGACTATATCTCAGACGCGGCCTCAAACCAAACCGAAAGGACCAACTTCGGGTCAATTGTCGGAGTCGCAATGCGGGTGGGCGATCAGAGTGTCAGCTTAGTTGCGCGTCGCTCAGCATCTCAATGGAGATCTCCTCCTATATCTTACTAGTCGAAGTCCAGATCGTACTCAGCATGTGATATCGCAGTAAGGTAGCTGTCTCTCGAGTAGTTGTCGTCATATACCAAGCAGCAAACCGGTAGTCGAGTTGAGTTGACTCCAATAAAGTGTTGCGATCAGGGTGGTACGTTTCGTTAAGCAACCTTCGAGAAATGTGCCGCATGTATCCCCAAATTGGGATGTAGGATCGTAGTGATTGGTTTCCCTGCCGGCTTCAGCTCCTTCGTGAGAGACCCTCGTTCGATCGTCAACGTCAACTTCGCAAAGACATATCCATACAGGGTGTAAAAAAAGACGGAAATGTCAGAGGAGGGGGGAAACAAGAACAAAAAGGGACTGGAACGATGGTCCTTTCACGACACGGACTCTTTTTTTTCTTGGATATTAAAATTGGGGAATCCTAGAGATGTACTTCTCCATACAGTAGGTAATTCGGGACCTGAATGCAATTTATTGGCAATTCTGCACATCTGCATATGCGAACTACTACTACGCCCTGACTTGCATATGTAGGTGCCCTTATTGCTCCCGTCGAATCATTAATGCTTTATTAGAGCAATAATAGCTTTACTTTCCGTCTATTAGGTAAGATCTGGTGTAGTTAGACCGCGAACGAATTCCGCCCCTTATCCACTTGAGCATCCACTCTCGCCGCCGACAAGATGGTATGATATACGCCAGCAGGAGCTTAAGGCGAGCCGAACAAGCCTTTCTACCGGTT